GACAAACTGTGGTACATCAATTGCCATTTTCTAGGCTAATGTAGTGTTGGACAGAACAAATACTTGTCTCAAGCCATTTATATTTTTTTTAGGAGGGAACTATTTATTCTTCCTCTGCTAAAAACAAACTAAAAACAAGGAAATCATTACCTCATCAACAGGACATTCGTTAGCCCTACAAAGAGCCTCTATGATTCTGGTGTCTGTTTCAGACTGCCGTGACGTACGAGTGTTTCTGCTCTGACCACGTCGCGAAGTTCGGGTTGGTCCATTCACAGAAAGTCCACTTACAGAGCTCTCTGTGTACAAACAGTAAAGAGAAGATTAAGAACAATTACCAATACGAAAACATCAAATACAATATTAAACCTGTACCACCTGACAATAACCTGTCAAAGTGGCTACTTTAAATTAAATACAAATGCCAAAAACTTTATCCTTCTTTAAATTGTGTTAGACACACTGACAATCTACATATGTGATACAAACTTAGCATATGTGAAAGATATCTATACACAGGCACAAAATATCAAACAGGAAAATGGCACGCCGCCCGCACTGGATATAGCAACTGTACTGGGAATCTCAGTTCCCGTGTGGGTTGTGATTTCCAAGGTATTGCAAGGCCTTCTTCCTTATGTGTCCCAGGGCACAGGAGTCCATTCAAATGAACATGCTCTCGTGCCCAAGCAAATTGCAGCAAGCACGACCGCAAAGATGTGAACCAGGGCATATACTACCCACAGGGAGGAGTAACCCATCAAGCTCTACTACTCAGCAATTTTTGTAAACTCATGGATCGTAACTACACCAACAATTTAAGGTTATGACATACTATATGGTTCTTTCAGAATATCAGATGGTGATCTCTTGATAAAATATTCCAAAACACATAGCAACAGCTGGAACGAGATTATGAGGTCATCATCCATCTGTAAAACTTTTCCTAAAAAAATAAATAAGAAAAATTTAAAAAAAATAATAAATAAAAAACACAAATAATAATTTGTTGGAAACAAAGATAAAGCAAAGCCTAAATGTTTTTACTTTTGAACAATAAGTCTTCCTCAATTGTATGCTATTTGTAAACATGGTTTTCAGTTCTACAGGCGAAATTCTGAAAATGCTAGTTACGTGGTAGTTATAACCCTCTGGCTTCAGTACTCTGCAGTTGCTCACTAGAAGTAAGGACATTGGCAAGGGAGCCAGCAATGTCTTCCAAAAATCAAGAAAACAGGTTGGCTCAATACCAAATCAGAAAGACAACTGTACTGAAGTGAAATCCTAAAGTACAACCTTTTGGTCAATTACGCTAGTAATGCTTTAAGTGGGGCAAAGTTTTACCTGCTCAAAACTAAATCGGGAGGGTTACGGTTCACAGAGGCTTGATGCCTAAAAGCCCAGGACACTCCAACAGGTCTGGTGGGGTGGGCTCAGCCATGACCAAGTCCTGACAGCAGAAACACCATTTTTTCAATAAAGGAGAATACCATTTTTGCTGTGACACTGGAGTGCCGACTTCTTCCAGTCTATTGCATAGTATTAGAAGCTATCAGAAGCTACTCTGCCTGTGCACACGGTTGCTGGAGCTATGGATGATTGGAGGTTGCAGCTCTGCTTCACCTGTTAAAGTGACTTCTGTGCCAACAGCTTGAATAAACAAACTGGTCTGAAATACCCTGTACAGTGTGGAGGGTTTAAGAATTCCTACCTTTCGCCAAAAGATATGTTGTCCAAGAGCCTTCAAGAATGGCCTTATGACTAGAGACAGCAGCATTCCTGTGTGCCAACAAAAACAAGATTTCAATTAGTACAATCTTTACATTATCCTGCCATAACAATATTAGGTCATTTCTAAATAAGGTCACCAAAGCAAAAAATAAAAGCATATCAATTTGAACACAAGAGTACTGGATGTTGAAATATGTCAATGGGAAAGTTTTTCTACTAAGACTGTGCTCAGGGTTTTATGACAAGTTTACATTGGATTGTGATTTGTCTACAAGTTGTCATATTGCTGTAAATGACAGATGATCCTTGTGACAGTGAGTGGATGCAAAATTGTAAAGATCAAAAACTTACTCTGTATTTGGCACGTTCATAAATATGTCGTTAAACGTACTGAAAGAAACGGAAATGTAAATTATCATCAGCATATGAACATACAAGCTGAGTGATACCTAAAGATAAAAAATAAGGCATACAAACCTTTCCATATAGGAAAAAACACAAAAACTAAAACAAACAATGTAATATATTGCAGCGTATCAATTATTAGATGTGGTGGCTGCATTCATTTTCTTTTTTGTTAGGCTCTCCCCCCCCCCTCCCCCATTTTACCTGGGGATCTGGCCAGTAACACACCTCCTGTATTAGAGTGCCCCCACTCTGGATGAATAAGCACAGGGGGCACCTTTGGACAGCAGCATTGTCAGTCTGGTCGGAGGAGAGTGTCAAATGTACTAACAGACTTAAATTCACCAACAAATTCAAGCCAAAA